TTACAGGGGTTCGGATTTATACAAGGTTTATATAACACAGGAGTTAGCATTCGGATTCTTTCTGGTTTATATAACAAAGGATTAAACAAATCAGCGATCCGGTTCAAACATTACTCTGGCTACAGCATAGGGCTCTGGGTTATCTTGTTTCTTGTAACAACAACCAGAAATGGAGGCTATCAGTTACGGTTCTGCATTTCTTAACACAAAGGAACGCTTTTAAACAGGTTGAACAAATCAAATAAATTTAACAACGTTAAGTTCATAGAATTTAAAGAACAATGAAAACTGAAGAAACAACTGCAAATCCGTGAAACCATTTACCAAACATTCTTCAAACCCGACTGAAACGTTAACCTTTTGTTTAATACTGAAACTATTAAAAATTATGAATATTGTTTTCTTTTTTAAATATACACTGTGTACATTATGAACTACTATTTTTAAAACAGTGCATTGTAATTAGCGGGATATATTCACTCTTAATCACTTGTTTCGTATCCATTAATTTGGTGGTCAACAATTCAGTATTCACTAATTCATCAATATGACCGTCAATGGCGAATTCAGAATCTCCCACAGCATGGAGAATTTCGAACAGATAGGCCTGTTCTGGTATTCCATTAGATGATGCTTTCTAAATTAATCTGTAAGAAAGTAACAGGGCGAATACCAAGTCATAGGGCTAGGAACCTTCCTGCAATAAAATGCTGAAATTGCAATTGGTTCAGGTGTTTTGGAGAATAAAGAAAGTTTACTGATGCAAGGCTACGGAAAAGAGCGAGCACAATATGTCAACTAAAACTTGTTACAGCTGATCTAAAATTTAATGAAGGAATAAAACTGGTTCACGATTTTCGTTTTCATGTGGCTTGTACCATAACCAAATGTTTCATCAATGTATTTATAAGCTTCACAGAGATTTAAACTCCAAGTGCTTTCACTAATAAGTATTGAAGGTACAAAATTTAAAGCATAATAATTCACAAGTGCAAAGATGGAAAATTCACATTCAAAATTAGGCCCAGATCAATAAAGACATCAAAACATAGGTACTGGGCAAATATTAAATCCAAAATCATTCGTCGGGAAAAGTCACACGACAAAATATTTATGTGAGAAACATCAGAATGATACACAATCCCAGAGATGAGTGCCAAACAAAATGTTAACATGAGAATTAAAGGACATCAAAAAACAGCACCAAATAAATACAAACCTTAAAACCTCAGCACCAGACGAATACACACATGTAAACATAAGTATCAGACAAATACACACCTGTAAACATTAGTATCAGACAAATACACACATGTAAACATAAGTATCAGACAAATACACACCTGTAAACATAAGTATCACTCAAATACACCTGAAAACATAAGTATCAGACAAATACACACCTGTAAACATAAGTATCAGACAAACACACACCTGTAAACATAAGTATCAGACAAATACACACCTGTAAACATAAGTATCAGACAAACACACACCTGTAAACATAAGTATCAGACAAATACACACCTGTAAACATAAGTATCAGACAAATACACACCTGTAAACATAAGTATCAGACAAATACACACCTGTAAACATAAGTATCAGACAAATACACACCTGTAAACATAAGTATCAGACAAATACACACCTGTAAACATAAGTATCAGACAAATACACACCTGTAAACATAAGTATCAGACAAATACACACCTGTAAACATAAGTATCAGACAAATACACACCTGTAAACATAAGTATCAGACAAATACACACCTGTAAACATAAGTATCAGACAAATACACACCTGTAAACATAAGTATCAGACAAATACACACCTGTAAACATAAGTATCAGACAAATACACACCTGTAAACATAAGTATCAGACAAATACACACCTGTAAACATAAGTATCAGACAAATACACACCTGTAAACATAAGTATCAGACAAATACACACCTGTAAACATAAGTATCAGACAAATACACACCTGTAAACATAAGTATCAGACAAATACACACCTGTAAACATAAGTATCAGACAAATACACACCTGTAAACATAAGTATCAGACAAATACACACCTGTAAACATAAGTATCAGACAAATACACACCTGTAAACATAAGTATCAGACAAATACACACCTGTAAACATAAGTATCAGACAAATACACACCTGTAAACATAAGTATCAGACAAATACACACCTGTAAACATAAGTATCAGACAAATACACACCTGTAAACATAAGTATCAGACAAATACACACCTGTAAACATAAGTATCAGACAAATACACACCTGTAAACATAAGTATCAGACAAATACACACCTGTAAACATAAGTATCAGACAAATACACACCTGTAAACATAAGTATCAGACAAATACACACCTGTAAACATAAGTATCAGACAAATACACACCTGTAAACATAAGTATCAGACAAATACACACCTGTAAACATAAGTATCAGACAAATACACACCTGTAAACATAAGTATCAGACAAATACACACCTGTAAACATAAGTATCAGACAAATACACACCTGTAAACATAAGTATCAGACAAATACACACCTGTAAACATAAGTATCAGACAAATACACACCTGTAAACATAAGTATCAGACAAATACACACCTGTAAACATAAGTATCAGACAAATACACACCTGTAAACATAAGTATCAGACAAATACACACCTGTAAACATAAGTATCAGACAAATACACACCTGTAAACATAAGTATCAGACAAATACACACCTGTAAACATAAGTATCAGACAAATACACACCTGTAAACATAAGTATCAGACAAATACACACCTGTAAACATAAGTATCAGACAAATACACACCTGTAAACATAAGTATCAGACAAATACACACCTGTAAACATAAGTATCAGACAAATACACACCTGTAAACATAAGTATCAGACAAATACACACCTGTAAACATAAGTATCAGACAAATACACACCTGTAAACATAAGTATCAGACAAATACACACCTGTAAACATAAGTATCAGACAAATACACACCTGTAAACATAAGTATCAGACAAATACACACCTGTAAACATAAGTATCAGACAAATACACACCTGTAAACATAAGTACCAGACAAATACACACCTGTAAACATAAGAATCAGACAAATACAAACCTGTAAACATATGTATCAGACAAATACACACCTGTAAACATAAGTATCAGACAAATACACCTGTAAACATAAGTACCAGACAAATACACACCTGTAAACATAAGAATCAGACAAATACAAACCTGTAAACATATGTATCAGACAACGTCAAATTACCCTCAGCACTGCCTGGACAAATACACACATGTAAACAAAAGTATACACATATTACGTTTGACCAATCTGATTAGCAACAAAAAACTATCATACGGGCATATCATTTTAGTATAGTATTTGGTATCATTTCATTTTTATTTTTCATTTTCTTGTCTTTTGAGAAAGAAAGTCTACTCAAAAAGAGTTAGTCAAATAGACTTTTCACCAGATCAGATCCTTAAGTACATGTTCTAATTTTAATATAATGCCGCATATTTGTTCTTAATTCGAAATAAGTTTGACGTATCAAAATGTATACCCTTCGTGTTATCATTCCACTTCTATATGATGGTTAACTGTTAATGCACTGTGTCTCGATATTTGAGCATTTGCCAGGTAAAATAACGCCCATTAGTACACCATTAAAGTCACTTGTCATGTAATTATCATGTTGTAGATGATTTCATGTCATACATGAAGTGTGAAATAAAGAATTTCTATACCCGTTAGTTTTGATTGTTGAGTGTCACGCTGGCCATCTTCTTAAAGAGATAAATAAAACAAAACATTTGGTTTAGTTTAAACAGTTTATATTCAATATTCAAACATGTTAATTACATACATATAATGACACAGTGATTGGAAAACAAGCTTAGAGCTTATATTAATTCCTCTCCCGAGTATATAAAAAGGCATTTAAATCTTTGAGACTGTTGACACCTTTACTACCGTATTGATTTATATAAGATAAGTTTACCTTATAACATGCTTACAGGTGGTGAAAACACCCATGGACGGACGGAAGAACACGTACGGACGCACACTGCACTCACACGTCAATGGATGGACGGACGGACGAACACGTACGGACGCACACTGCACTCACACACCCATGGATGGACAGACGGACGAACACGTACGGACGCACACGCTGAAACACTTTATTGACACTTGTACTTATGATATTTCCTCGATAGAATGTATTTAGAATATAAAATACAATATGCATTTGGTACAACCCTTTGACGTGTGACATGTTTGTTTACAGGGAAACATATTTAGACATATATTCCCACTGTTTTGTTTAGATGTAGGTCAAAATATTAAGTTTTTTTCGACAAAACTGAAACATTGCATTACTTCAGTTTCTGTTTTTATCCGCCGATAGCTAAAACTTGATGCAATTAGTACATTTAAACAGACGTTTGGTGTTTGGATGATATAAACTCGCAACCCTGAAAAAACTTCGTGTATGTTAGTATAATATGTTATGAATATGTACTGTTAATTCTGATGGTTGCGTGGTAATCCTGCTCCTCCGTGTTAAGAACTCTAGCTCTAATGGGCTAGCTCATTGACTAATTCACTCTCGGTAAAATCTGTTAATAAATCTAAATTGGTTTGACGTAGCCGAGAGTGCTAGTTGATATTACCGGTGACCCAATAGCTATGTCAGCTTTATTGACCGTTCATGTTTACACTATTGTACACGAGATTTCATAATATGTGGACTTTTTCCATGATACATAGGAACCAATTTGAACACTGTTAATATATTAGCATGAATATAGATTTGGGATGTTGTTTAAGTGTGGTATTGTGGAATATTTGGGTATTAAATATTTCTTCGTAAAGCTTTACCGGTATAATATAAAAGAGCCAGAACTTGGGTATATAAACCTAGCCTTTGTGTGAGATATCGACATTTATAACACGACAATGTCGATCATGGCTGTACAAGTGGAAGTATTGTTCCTTCTAGCATTACTTGCAATGATGACAACCATCAGCGCCAAGGCCAAGTGTCCTACAGTACCGGTCATTGCTGATTTCAGCACAAAGTTGGTAAGTTACGTCCGTCAATTCATACTCAACGCTGCCTGGTAAAGGTATGTCCGTCAATTTACACTCAACGCTGCCTGGTAAAGTAATGTCCGTCAAATTACCCTCAGCACTGCCTGGTAAAGTAATGTCCGTCAATTTACCCTCAACGCTGCCTGGTAAAGTAATGTCCGTCAAATTACCCTCAGCACTGCCTGGTAAAGTAATGTCCGTCAATTTACACTCAGCACTGCCTGGTAAAGTAATGTCCGTCAATTCATACTCAACGCTGCCTGGTAAAGTAATGTCCGTCAAATTACACTCAGCACTGCCTGGTAAAGTAATGTCCGTCAATTTACACTCGGCAATGCCTGGTAAAGCAATGTCCATCAATTTACACTCAGCACTGCCTGGTAAAGTTGTGTCCGTCAATTTACTCAGCACTGCCTGGTAAAGTAATGTCCGTCAATTTACACTCAGCAATGCCTGGTAAAGCAATGTCCATCAATTTACACTCAGCACTGCCTGTTTAAGTAATGTCCGTCAATTTACACTCAACGCTGCCTGGTAAAGTAATGTCCGTCAATTTACACTCAGCACTGCCTGGTAAAGTTGTGTCCGTTTATTTACACTTAACGCTGCCTGTTAAAGTAATGTCCGTCAATTTACACTCAGCACTGCCTGGTAAAGCTGTGTCCGTCAATTTACTCAGCACTGCCTGGTAAAGTAATGTCCGTCAACTTACACTCAGCACTGCCTGGTAAAGCAATGTCCGTCAATTTACACTCAGCACTGCCTGGTTTAGTAATGTCCGTCAATTTACACTCAACGCTGCGCCTTGTATAGATCTGTCCGTCAATTTACACTCAACACCGCCTGATAAAGTAATGTCCGTCAATTTACACCCAACGCTGCCTGGTAAAGCTACGTCCGTCAATTTACACTCAGCACTGCCTGGTGAAGCAATGTTCGTCAATTTACACTCAGCACTGCCTGGTTAAGTAATGTCCGTCAATTTACAGTCAACGCTGCCTTGTATAGCTATGTCCGTCAATTTACACTCAACGCTGCCTGGTAAAGTAATGTCCGTCAATTTACACTCAGCACTGCCTGGTAAAGTTGTGTCCGTCAATTTACTCAGCACTGCCTGGTAAAGCAATGTCCGTCAATTTACACTCAGCACTGCCTGGTTAAGTAATATACGTCAATTTACAGTCAATGCTGCCTTGTATAGCTATGTCCGTCAATTTACACTCAACACCGCCTGATAAAGTAATGTCCGTCAATTTACACCCAACGCTGCCTGGTAAAGCTACGTCCGTCAATTTTCACTCAGCACTGCCTGGTAAAGTGATGTCCGTCAATAGAGTTCTTTTTCTTATGTTAATATAAGAATTATTAAAAATTACATATAACCATTATTTCATCTCGTTACACAAATAGAATTGTAACCTGGAATGTGTTTTGTTTCTATAGCACAGGGGCACCTGGTACGAGATCGAAAGGATTGATAACCCGTTACAGATGACAGCAAAGTGCATTTCGTACACATATTGTCCAAAACGAAACGGTGACATGCGTGTTTCCTACGGCAGGCTAGAACTTGCGATGTAAGTGTGGAGTGTTTAGATATGGCTAATCAAGGGTGTCCGTCAGTAGTCATGTGTAGAAGACGCGTTTCTAACAAAATGGAGACAATAAAAAACCACTCTTTTTAGAGCATTAAGCTTACAATATATCTTCTACATAAATATATGTAAATGTGTCCTGCCATATTCACACCATAAGAAATGTGATGATATTAATATAACAAAAATGTTTTGCAGGTTAAACAGAACGACGACCAGAGGCACCCTTACACGTATTGATAGGAAATATCCGAATCAGTTCAAACTGTCACTCGAAGCCATCAGTAAGTTATTCTTAATTATAGATTTGAATTGATAGAATATTAAGGCATTGCTTAAACCAAAAACATACATACTGTGTTCTTTGTAAGGAAAACATAATGCTAACACGACCAAAAACCTTTTTTTACATGTTCTTGTACTTAATTGTCAACTAGATTGTGACCATATCTGTTTATTAATTCAGAATGAAAATACAGTAACTATTTATAAAGAGGAGGTTCTATTGATACACCCACATATATACATACCTGTGTACGATGTACGTATTTCCAGGATAATGTTGATATGTTTTACTAACAGACGATCTGGACCAAAGCGTCATATACACGGACTATAAAAAGCACGCTGTCTTGTACGGATGTGAGGGCGGTATCGGTACGTACACAAAACTTGGCATTGCCCAAATTAATTCTAGTAACTCATTTTACTCACTGCAAATATTATACCGATAATACCGATTGGAGAAAGGATTAGAAAGGGAAATTTCTATGCCAATTAAAAATGACCTCTTGTTGAGGAGGGGGGCGGGGGGGGGGGGTTTTATTTTCTTCTATATTTATATCGATGGAGAACAGGCGACGACGGGAGAAAACGTTATATATACATGTAACTGTTGCCGAGGTGTGTATTCAGATCCATGCCATTCCACTGAACACCGACGACCAGAATGGCCTAAGTCATGTATATTTACATTTTTAGAGTCTCACAACAACCAATCGTCGGTGAATCTGGGTGAATATTACATGTAAAACAAGGGTCATATGCAAATGTCATCCATATTCTGTCGTAGGGTTGAGTGAATAATTAACACATCAGCATAGATTTGATTTTACTGAAACCTGGTAACGGTAGTCTGCATATTTTTCTTTCGTTCCGATCTATAGCTTTTTTGATGAAATCAGAAAAAAATTATCTATTTCAGAATTCGCTTTTATACTATCCCGAGAGAGAAAGCCTATAGGGAGGAGGACACTCCGACGATTGTATCAGTACCTGAGAGATCTGGGTACCGACGTAAACCAACTAATCACCTCCGACCAGACCGGATGTGACGTCTGTTCCAGAGTTTGCTAACTCTGCTTTCACTATGCGCTGATTTAAATGAAATATAAACAAAAGCATAGTCATTTGTAGTGTTTGTTGCTGTTATTCTATGTTCATTCGTCATAAGGAAGGAAGACCCAAGTCTGGCCTGGACCAAAAACGGATTACTCAACACCAAAATACTTCACAAAAAACTTTCAAAACTTTAAATGCGTCGACTGTTCATGTTTCAGCCTGACATAGCATGGCAATGAACCACCATGCAGCTTTAGATATGTATAGGATTTCAACAGCTAATTAATTTACTAGTTCCTAAATAGCATCAGAAGATTATTTTAAACTCATTACAATTAATTTGAAGAGTGCGTTTTGGATACTGGCATCTCTAATCTCTAATTGTTAATGTATGCATTCTTCCCTGACTGATACTGTTTGCAGATGAGTGTCATATCATTCTGCAAGCCTTGCTAAAATTCTATTTAATGACCTTGAACTCGTGTATAAATAGCGCTCATGTAGATTGTCACGTGAAGAAGTTTTGCCATCTTGGTTAGTGAATGATGTTTGGTATCTTGATGAAATAGCCTCGAATGGTTATGTAGACATTAGTCCATGCCGTCTCAATAATTGACACTAGTGGTATTACATACATGTGTATTGTCCACGGTGTATCAAACGATATATACGTATACCACTAGAGGATAGCAGTAATATACATGTATACGGGTCATTGCAGACAGGGTTGACCAGAAAAAGAACGCAATAAAGGTGTGGATCTAAACTATACCGTTAAGTCTCGAGGTATTAATCGTCAAGATGATTGAGTACCGTAGCGATATCAACCTTGGTTATCCGACGACGGTGATGGTGGTATGAGTGATTTTATCAGCACTATTGTTTCTAAGCCAACCTTTAGAGTTTTGCTCTCTCTCACTCTCTCTGAACATAGAACGGCAATCATCAAGATGAGTGAGTACCGAAGCGAAATCAACCTTGGGTGTCCGACGATGCCCAATCACTAACTACAGAAAGCTTAGTAGTAGTTGATTTATATTGCTTTTCTACAATGATGAATACACATTTCCACGCTCAATAATAATTTTGAAAAAAAAGGATGTAGAAGTTTGTCCAATGCAGTCCTGATGGTAGCCATAACATTGCAAATAGACTCCACCAAACCTGCAATACAAACTGTGTCTTTTCCCTTACCAGCTTGACTTCTTTTTCTTGATAGTAACCCCACTACAGTATCATGTTATTTCGCAGTTGATTGGTTATCCAAGGACTTATTCTGAACATCATGATTTCGGTGAGCGATTTCGATGACTGACGGTCAAATTCAGTGCACGACCTAACGAGAAACCACAAAGGACATAGGCAGTCAACTGTAACAGACAGACGCAGCCACGACTTACGGGAAAACTGTTACGGAGGGAAGCAGTCACGACATACGGGAAAACTGTAACGGAGGAAAGCAGTCAAGACTTACGGGAAAACTGTTACGGAAGGAAGCAGTCACGACTAACGGGAAAACTGTTACGGAGGGAAGCAGTCACGACTTACGGGAAAACTGTAACGGAGGAAAGCAGTCAAGACTTACGGGAAACCTGTCACGGACAGAAGCAGTCACGACTTACGGGAAAACTGTAACGGAGGGAAGCAGTCACGACTTACGGGAAAACTGTTACGGACAGAAGCAGTCAAGACTTACGGGAAACCTGTTACGGACAGAAGCAGTCACGACTTACGGGAAACCAGTTACGGACAGAAGCAGTCACGACTTACGGGAAACCTGTTACGGACAGAAGCAGTCACGACTTACGGGAAACCTGTTACGGAGGGAAGCAGTCACGACTTACCGGAAAACTGTTACGGACAGAAGCAGTCACGACTTACGGGAAACCTGTTACGGACAGAAGCAGTCACGACTTACGGGAAACCTGTTACGGACAGAAGCAGTCACGACTTACCGGAAAACAGTTACGAACAGAAGCAGTCACGACTTACGGGAAAACTGTCACGGACAGAGGCAGTCACAACTTACTGGAAAACTGTCACGGACAGAAGCAGTCACGACTTACTGGAAAACTGTCACGGACAGAAGCAGTCACGACTTACGGAAAAACCATTACGGACAGAAGCAGTCACGACTTACCGGAAAACCATTACGGACAGAAGCAGTCACGACTTACCGGAAAACTGCTACGGACAGAAGCAGTCACGACTTACAGGAAACCTGTTACGGACAGACGCAGACAAGACTTACGGGAAAACCATTAAGGATAGAAGCAGTCACGACTTACGGGAAAACTGTCACGGACAGAAGCAGTCACGACTTACGTGAAACCTGTCACGGACAGATGCAGTCACGACTTACGGGAAAACTGTCACGGACAGAAGCAGTCACGACTAACGTGAAAACTGTCACGGACAGAAGCAGTCACGACTTACTGGAAAACTGTCACGGACAGAAGCAGTCACGACTTACGGGAAAACTGTCACGGACAGAAGCAGTCACGACTTACAGGAAAACTCTCACGGACAGAAGCAGTCACGACTTACTGTCGGGCAGACAATTACAGCGTACAGAAACTGTAGTGACCTACTGAAGCAATCACGACAAATCGTGACAGACATGTAAACCGTCTATAAATCATAAACATCCAAGCAAATTCAATTTCGTAGTACGCGTTGTTATACATATGTAGCTTGGCTTTACACCTTTTAAGATGACAACATAACAATTATAATGCTCCACTTTGACAAACGATTGACAGCTTCGAAATGTCTTCTTGGTTATTGATTCTGACAAGAATTTTTACTTACAGAAAAAGATTTCCACAGAAATGATATATAATGAAACAAAAGAGCAGCCATTACCAATACAATATCCAACAATGAACCACAAGCACGTACTGTGGTATTACACCCAAATCAAGGAATTCTGACAGAACAGACCCTTGTGAGAGTGCACGAGTTACGCAATCTTAGGCGGGCATGCACAAAAGTTACATAAAAAGCATTAAAGCACAGCGTTAAGAGGCAATGACATGATCTAAACATTAACAAGACCTGAAGTAACACATGCAGTTGATGGAGTGACGTCATCAACCCACACAGAATCAGATGTTCTGTAATGGTAAGCTTCTCTGGTCCAATCCATCGAGCATGTAGATCTCCATTGAATCTTATAAATACTTAACAGGTAAAACTAGAGTAGACAAAGGTTTACACCCGTCTTAGGTAGAGCCTCTAACCCGAAAACGTCACCATCTAGTGTCACATCACTTAATGCGGCGCACATTTGTAAGAATCACGGCATCATTGTGATTAAGTAGCTTTTTACAAAAAAGAATTATTAGTAAGTTTTCAGTAAGGGAGAAAAAAAGGGATCGATTATGCAGAAGAAGTAATTTAAACACTCATTGTGCGATTCTACTTTTAAACCTATGCTAGGTGAATCCTAATTTATGGCGATTAAAAAAACTCAATCTCGGGTTTAAATGTTACTGTCTTAATATCTAAATTCTACTTCTTGAAATCAGGAACCGATAGTTTACCGTCTAAAATATAGCTCAACCAGTTGTTGAAACATTTTTTTAAATTAAGAATTTTGCGAAAATTTTAAAATGAACAAAATTATTTGTAAGGTATCTGTTCAGGCGATCATTTTAAATCACTATATAGTTTTATTACATTTTTGCCAGTGACATATCGGATTCTATCAACTTGATAAAACTGATATCTTTCACACTGTGACAAATATCAAAAGTGATCTTTCACACTGTGAAAATATCAAAGGCAACGATTTTTTTGTTCAGATTCAAATGAATCGACGGTAGAATAAGTGGTTGTTATGGTAAATGTTTGGTACACACACTTTTAAAAGTAATTACATGAATATACAATTAATAACATTTTCATAAGCAAGAACACCAGATAAAAGCAGAAAACGTCGGAATTGCGTTGAGTGTCCCATTCAAAATGGCGCATAGCCTTGTTGTTAAGCGTGACGTCATTAGAATGTGGCTCCAGTAATTATTACGCTTCTGATTCCCGCCCATTTTAAATGCATTATATTTTTCTTGTTTTATGCTTTAAAAATGTAATAAATAGAAAATTTAATGGTGTCTTAAGTAATAACAAATATATTTCACTCGTGTGGCTAATATTTTGATCTGTTTCACTCCTGTCGCGCACTCGTGAAAGATATCAAAATATTAGCCACACTCGTGAAATATTTTTGTAATTACTGAAGACACCATTAAATATCTTTTATGCCTGATTCCAAGTAAATATCACCATGACAAGCTTGTAAGACATGTTAAGTGCATAAATAACTAGAACACTTCAAATGAATTGAAAATGGCCGTTTTTATTAAAAACGACATGTTTATATAAAAACTTTATCTTTTAAAGTTTTTGTCCAATGTACTTAAAAGTCTTAGATGGGGTAAGAAAACGCCCCTTTAAGAAGTAATAATCATATTGAGAAGGAGGCAAGAAGGGGAGGTGGTGGGTAATAAAATTCACTTAGATATTTTTCAAAATTAGATCATGATGTAAAAAGAAGGTACACACCTTGTTCCTCCATCATCTTCAGCAGGCTAGTGACCTAGGGTCAGCTAGTGCACATACTTATATAGGGTGCTAAAAATAGCCACAAATTCATACGACTTTTGACCTTCTCACCTCCTACTAATGGTCAGCGTCCGCTCATATCAATCATAGATACAACAAATACAGTACTTTAACATTCATGATATTGAAACATAATAAAAAACAAAGTATTACTAGGACATTCATAAATTACATTAAACCAGGTTTAATTTGTATTTATGCCTGATTCCAAGTAAATATCACCATGGCAAGCTTGTAAGACATGTTAAGTGCATAAACAACTAGAACACTTCAAATGAATTGAAAATGGCCGTTTTTATTAAAAACGACATGTTTATATAAAAACTTTATCTTTTAAAGTTTTTGTCCAATGTACTTAAAAGTCTTAGATGGGGTAAGAAAACGCCACAGAGATTACAAACCCTTGGGATTGTAATCACTCCCCCATCCGCAGCCAT